CATTAAAACGGCCTTTTTTCCATTTAAAAATTGAACACATTTCATCGGTATAAAAGTCGGCATTTCAAATAACAATTTACTGTAAATTTACAAATGTTAAATATCTGCCTGTGAACAGTCAGCTTTATTATTGAAAGACCAGATGCTTTAAAAGAGGGCAACAAGCTTTTAACCGAGAGCAGATTTGATGCTTTAAACTAAATATTAATTCTAGCGTCACTAAGGTCACTTTGAATCTGGTTTTATTCAGCTGGAGGCATTCCCTGTAGTTTGCCTTGCAGCTTTAACTTTGTTTTCATGCTGTTGTAATTGAAATTGTATTGGTTTTGTTCTAAGGATGTAAAGAACAGCATTGTGTCTAAGTGCATTGATTCCAAGTCCATCTGCCAAGTGTGATTTTCATTGACAGTCACCAATGCTTCCAGCACCAACTCTGGTCAACAACCATGATAGCCCACCACCAAGAGATAGGTTGAGATTTTCAATCCAGGCCCGAGTTCAAGGCAGATTCATGTATAAATGTGGACTGGCAGGTAAAACCCAATACCTGGCTATAAAATCACTTAAAAGATCAGGGCCTGATAAGTTGACAAGTTTTCAAATGACAATAATTTGGGTAGTGGAATACAAGGGACATTGCTGACCTCTGGTTGATCCCTGTGAATTGATTCTTAGCCCAATGGCATGGCAGCAGCCCACTGCCACACATAAAGTCTGTGTACTAAGGCTTAGTTATCTCCTTAACTCAAATAGCAACTCTATCTATCTTTTATCTCAACAAGCATTAGAAAAGACTTGGTTAAGCCTGACAATATGGGAAAGAAATAGAAAGAGGTGCATGAATCTGTTCAGTCATTAGCAGTTGAACAAGAGGCAGGAATATAGTGTCTCTGTGTTAATCTGCTAAATGGATTCAAGTGCCTACATTATAATCCAGTGAAAGATAAGCACTTTTTAAAAGTCTTAATGAGTTCAGCAACAAAGAATGTGGCAAGACATATTTCTCCCTGCACATCAATGAGATCCACTCTATTTATTAATTGCATTGAGATTGCACCTTCCTCAATGGCAGCTGTGCTCAAGCTGGTACTTTCCAGTTTGACTGTGGAAATGATGGGAGTTAAAGTCGATCACATCTTGAGCTAAGACATTTGAGACATCACAAAGTCCCCCATGTTTTCTAATAAGAGTCTCAGTAGATGAAGCTGAGACAGAAAGACTGGAGACAATCAGTCAATGAGCTTGTAGGCCAAGGCAGTAAGTTCTGAATAAGAACATAATGAGCACATTGGTTGGTGTTTAGTAATTCCTGATAAATTTGCTGGCAAGTCTGCAATTCTCTTCCTAATAAAAATTATATTGTATATTCTGCTAGCACAGGCAGATTTTGTATGTTTAGAATTGTCTATTACCAAAGCCTATTGATCTGCCCAAAATTCACTGGAAAACAGAATGAACACAGTAGGAGATCTTCCTTTTTCCATGAATGAGAATGGGATCCAAATGTAAAAGAAATCACCATAAGCAAACTCCAAAATGTGTATGTACTATTGTGTTTAAATCGAAATAGCAAAAAATAAAAAAAAATCTCACATTGCTTGTAAAATATGCATAGGTTTTGGCAAATCTTCTGGAGATGTCTCTCTAGATCAGCGGTTCTCAACCTGGGGGTTGCGACCCCTTTGGGGGTCGAACGGCCATTTCACAGGGGTCGCCAAAGACCTCTCTCGCCCCCCCCCCCGCCTTCACTCACCCTCACTCTCTGCTCTGTTGGATCCCGGGCCGTTCGTTTACCCCGCTCACTCCCAATCTATTGCTGCCTCCAATGGCTAGAGGAAAAAAAACTGTTTAAATTTTTGCCGCGGGGCAAAAATTATAGCCACTATAGCCAGTGGTGCAGCCGAACCCTTTGTTAAATTGCTGGCTTGCCCCACCCCTCCGCACCACTATTTATTGCCAATAAATAGTGGTGGGCGAGGGGCGGGGGAGCCAGCAATTTAACAAATGGTTCGGTGTTTTTTTGTAATTTTATTGGCCCACGGAGCTTCAGCATAGGCTAATTAGCCCTTGCTTAGATCGGCTCCCGACCCCCAGCTGATTTGCTCTCAGCTGTTTTGCTCAGGGCTCTGCTGCTTCCTTGCAAAGAGTACTGATTTTTTTCCCCCCTATCTATGCTTAAAAACGAAACTGAAACTGCTTTGCTGTTGCTGCAACTTGGAAAATTAGGCAGGCATATTTCTTTTCTTTTTCCTCACCAAAAAAGGTAGGTGCAAACAACGGGAAATTTAGGGAAAAAGAGGAGATTTTAAAACACAAAAGAAAAAAGCTCTATTTAACTAGGGAATTGTAATAATTGAGATACTATTAATTGTATATTGTGTTGAAAGCAGAAATGGTTAAGTTGTGGTTTGGAGGAATATATGGGGGAAATTATTTGGTTTATTATTATTGGTAAATATAATTAATTGATTTGTAAGAAATTGGATTGCATGGAAATAATTGGAATATTCATGTTCATATTGATTAATATACAAAAAAGGTAGTTATATAACTAATTGATTTATATTAAAATGTTTAATTTATAGTAAACAACTAATATTACATAATTAACCAATGTGAGGATGGATATAAAAATAGATGACAATGGGAAGGGGTATAATATAGAATAGAAGGGAAAAATTGAATTTGATTAAGATCAGAGATGAGGATGAAGGGTAATATTGCTTTTTTTACAAAAATAGATGAGGAATAAATATGGCAAAAAGGAAATATAGAAATTGTAAATTTAATTGAAATGACTAAACACTTTAAATTTATGAACCGGCCAAATACTCTGTTCAAAGAAAATACATTGTATGTTTGTATGTGTGTTTCTAATTATTGTTATTTATTCATATTTGTTCTCTTTTATTCTTTAAAGTTTAACAATTCATTCTTTATCTTAATATCTTTATATTTGTTTGGGGTTGGCTTTCTTCCCTTTCATCTTTTTTATGGTGCAGCAATCTTTCTCCTCAAACCTATCACCTCTCTCTTTTCTTTCCTTCTTACTTTCTCTTCCCCCCCTCTTCTTCTCCTCCCTACTTCCTCTTCCTCTTCTCCTTCTCCTCCACTCTTCCTCCCTCTCTTACCCTCACTCCTACTCTAATTTCCCTTCCCTTCCTTCATCCCTCTCTATTGCTGTATCCTTTTATGCATATGGACTACTCAGAGGGCTGAAAAAGTTATTTCTGACTGATCCTCGCACTTTTGACCAGTCTTCGAACTTACGACTGTCCTCACATTTTACATTTTTGCCCTATCTTGTCACCATGGTGAAGAGAAGCAGTTGTGAAATGAGTGACACATTGTTAAGAATGCTACAATGGGCATAAATGATGACCAGTCATAAGTGTGAAGACCGGTCAAAAGTGCGAGGACCTGTCAGAAATCACTTTTTTCAGCCCTCTGGGTAGTCCTTTTGTGCATATGGACTACTCAGAGGGCTGAAAAAGTTATTTTTGACTGGTCCTCGCACTTTTGACCAGTCCTTGAACTTACGACTGTCCTCACATTTTACGTTTTTGCCCTATCTTGTCACCATGGTGAAGAGAAGCAGTTGTGAAATGAGTGACATGGTTGTTAAGAATGCTGCACGGGCATAAATGTGAGGATGGTCATAAGTGTGAGGACCAGTCGAAAGTGCGAGGACCTGTCAGAAATGACTTTTTTCAGCCCTCTGAGTAGTCCCTATACACATAGCCATGGCCACCCGGTCACATGACCAGCTAGCCACGCCCACCCAGTCACATGACCTCCAAGCCATGCCCACAAAATAAGCCACGCCCACAGAACCGGTAGTAAAAAAATTTAGAACCCACCCCTGGTTGGGGGTCACCACAACATGAGGAACTGTCTTAAAGGGTCGCGGCATTAGGAAGGTTGAGAACCACTGCTCTAGATGGTCTTGGCAAATGGTAGTTACTAAAAATAGCCAAGGCAAGAAAGGTGGTCCATCTGGCCTCCTGGCTCTGCTCTAGAGAGGAGCTGTATTTACTTATAAGCAAATTTGCATCTGGAGCTTGGCTATTCTCAACCTGGATGGATTCCAGTCAGCCGTGCCCATTCCTCTCCCAGCTGGCATATGCGGCTGCGCCACTTGGCAGGCGACAGCCACTGCATGCATCTGGTGGTGGCATTTTTAGAAACACTCTAGCAGTGAATTCATCCAGCCATTTGGGAGAAGTTTCTTAATGTGGAAAGCATTTCTCTGCCGTAAGCACATTCTCCCTACCTCAGCTCATGTCAGCACTGCAGATTTCCCACCCCTCCCCCCTTTCTCTTTGCTTATGTTGTTTGATAGATTCTCAAACTCGGCAAACTCTGAACAATCTGATTGCCGATTGGCCATGCTGGTGGGGTAATGGAAGCTGCAATTCAACAAAATCTGGAGAATCAAATTTTCATCTTTCAATTAGTATTACTGAGATGTTACAAACTGGGCTGAGAAATAATTTAGAATCTCACTAGCAGGCATTTTTTTTGACAAGGATTCCCAGTAAAACACTCATAATAGGCTGTACCTGTGATCCTGAATGTCTTGATACATTCTAATCTGTCTGAGGAATCCTGATTCATTCACTGAAATTTTAGTCCACTCAGTTTATGTATTGGTTATATTTAAAGACCACCCAACTCTGAAACTACTCTGGTGACATCACCAGTTAAAAGCAGCAGCATTTCATAAAAATAAAATAAAATAAATCACTGTATGAGAGGCTATACCTCCAACTTAAAATCACCCAGTCCCCTTAGCCCTTTTACCAAGGACTTCTCCCTTTGGATCAGCTTTAAGAAAACTAAAACAAAAAATTTTTTGGACCATCCCCTCCAAAACCCCAAATTACAACCATTACTAAATGTTGTGCTATTCATGAAATACAAGTAGTAGTTCCATAACTGCTTGCACATGGAGAAGATTTTAACAAGCAATCATCTTATTAAGTCAAAGCAGCCAAATCTCTAGGCATAAAATTTATTGGATAATGAGAAATATACAAAAAAATAATAGAGAACTTACTAATTAACCGCAGAGATATCCAAATAAAACCAACAGTCGACACGGCTGAATTAGTCAACAGTGCATGCATTAAAACAAGATTTTTGGTTTCAGCGCATTGCCAGGGCTCACTGCAGCATGCAGGTGGAGAGATCCTTTGAGCCTCCTGCTTTAACTGTTTTTAGTCAGGGCCTCCTTGCATCTTTTATTGATGATGTTCAATTTTATAAACCTCAGAACGTAATTGAAAGCCAGCGTCTTGTCAAAACAGTTTTCTTAGTCAAAGAAAATGTCCCCCAGATTTGACATTTAGGCTATTTGTAGCTAATCCAATTGATGAAAACTAGACTGCAGTTTATCAATTGGACCACTATTATTATAGGTTTTTAAAGAAAGCAAGGGTCAATTTACTGGATGTTTTGGGCCACACCACAAAGTAGGGGCTGTCAGCCACACTATTGCATAAGACCCTTAGACTGTAGCTCACTGCATCCCATCTCCACTGAGGTTGATCTGTATGTTGGGATCTGAACTGAGTTCTACACACTCACGGCATATTTTACCCTCTTACAGTATGCCAGAGAACTCTTTGCAGAGGTTGGTTTTTAAACATAATAAAAAAAGTTAATCTAGTGTCACAAAACTCATATAAACATAAAACAATGTTTATTTAGTTCTTTTGCTTGTTAAGATTGAAATAAATACTAATTTAATAAGAGAGCTAAAGACAAATATAAGCATTAGTGCAAAATATACCAGAGCTCGATCAGTAACTTCTTTTTAACTGCAGTTTGCTTCTTTGACTCCTCTCTGTCTAGCATTTTATGCTTTAAGGCAATGCTATTATTTTGAATAGTTGCCCATTCAAAGACTGCAAATTAAAGAACAGTGTGTTATTTTTAAAAATATGGTCCTTCAGTGCCATCTTGTGGCATACACAAGATGGCACAAAACCAGAGTCTCTGGTTCTCAATGTGTGTGTTTGTGAGCGCACTGGTATGTGTGCACACACAGGGCTTCTAGTCAGTGTTGACTCCTGGCTGTAGAACTCCCTGGAGTTTTCTTGGCAAGATTGATTGATTTATCAAAATTGGATACTGCCCATCTCACTCATAGAACGACTCTGGGCAGTTTATAGATAAAAGATTCAAAAGTGGCTTATAAACAAAAATATTTTTTACTTGGTCTATAATTGTGAACAATTAGCTTTATCATCTGCCCTCTATCCACCTATATTGACAGTAGAAATGAGGAAAATATATTTACTATACCATTTTTTCACTTTCTTCAGTACAGTAACAAACATTTAGTGTATTACAATCAAGCTGAATCAATCCAGTGCACGATGAAGTCCTCTTCTTCAAGGCCATGGGTGTAATCTAGTACACTGATCCAGTACAGTTGATACAGAATTTTTTTGATTAACCGGAAGTAATCTAGTTCTGAGAGAGATTAATTGGCCCAGTCACCCAATGCAATCATTCCCTACATAGGGGAGAACTAGAATCTGGGATGAAGCAAAGAAATCTATCTAAATAACACTGGCAAGAGGAACATATAAACGAATAATATAGACCCATCAATTAAAAAGGCATTTGGGAATTTGCCTCATTGCTTTTTCTGGAGACAATCTGTGGAAATGGTCATTTTTTATAATTCAAAAAGAACCAGTAATAAGGCTTATTATACACATTTATGTGTCTTTTAATTTATAAGATTTTCACAGTACTGGCATTCACATCTACTTTATCAAAGGTATAATATACAATATACTTATATATATATATATTTATTAGTATTCTTCTAGTCCTCTCAGTTCTGTAGTGAACTGAGAAAAGAGATAGAAATGGCCAAAGATGGGGGATATTGGAATGTGCCTCACAGAATACGACAAGTGGTACAGCCTTCCAGCCTCAGAGCAAACAAGCACACTTTTTCCTCTTGTTCTAACCTGCTGCTCATTTGGCTTACTAGTTCAATGTAAAGTTTTGCCTAATGGAAGTCTCTTCTGTCAGAAGTCTTTTTGCAATATACTGCCTTTCTTTTTTCCTCACAGTCATGCTTCCTCCTTTCACTTAAAAAGATCATAAAAATGGAAATAGTCTTTTCTTCAAGATGTAAAGCACAGTGGCCAAAAACAAGGCAAGGGCAAGAAAGATGAGCAATTTATCAGTCAGCTCCCTGCGGTTATACTTTGTAATAAGCTTTCGCCCCAGCTGTATTGTTCCAGACATGGACTTAAACTCCTCATTGGCATCCAAGATAGTTCGTGAAGAATTAACTGAAAGATAAAATGTACATTTCAGTGGATTTGTTTCCGACGCATCTAGCAAAATAATCATATATTGTGGAAGCATCTTTTTGTGTCCCGTGAAAGAAAACATATCACATGCAGTTCACTGGGTAAATTGGCTTAAAGCTTCATATTTTAGATCTGGAGCCAGATGAAATCAATTCAAATGGCTCTCTTGTTATCTGATGACCATCTGATTGATATGTTACCATCTTGAAGAGGCCCATTCATAAAAGACTGAGATCAGAGTTGGCTCAAGTTCCAGAACCATTAAAACTTTCACCTCAGCCAAACTCTGCATCCCAACAGACCGTACTCTCCCTTAAGGCTGTTCACAAACACTTCAAAAAGGCAGATGTAAATAATTAAAACAGCAATGTATAAACATTCATAAGCATTTAGTTCAAGCAATCTGATCCATCTAAAACCAGATAAAAGCATGAAGTCTTTTAGGCCTACAGTTACAAACTAAGAGGGAAAGAGCCAACATAAACATATAGTGGAAGAGTTTGCTCAGTAAAACCACAGTTTCCCAAAGCACAGGAGAGTTAGCTTAATGCTTAACATCTTCTGTTGAAGCAAATAAAAATACTTTTTCTCCTAGTTGCCATTGTTAGGAGGTGAAAACTGGATGTACACACACACAACTCTTTATCACAAAACAAAATGACAAAGCATTAACCAGACAATCATTTTCTAGTCTAAGCAATGGCAAATCCAGATCTGACTCCCCAACCCCAGAATGGATTACAGCATATTCAAATAATCTCAAAGGCACCCTAAGGACCCTAAGGAAAGTGAGCAGGGGGTCCACAGTGATAACTTTTGCCTTGTGCTACATGTATTCCTTGTAATATGCATTTTTCATCTCTGAGATTTTCAGGTGATCTCCCATCCAAGTGCTAGCCAAGTCTAATTCTCTTTGGAATTAGCAAGATAGGCTAGGTGCTGCCTTCTTTTGAGGTCATCATCATAAACCAAGGTATTAAAATAACAGATTTATCTAGGGGGGAGAAAAAGGCGTGAATCACTTAAGTGGAAATCTAAGGGCAAGCCATTTTTCTCTCCAGTACTGTGCCGAACGGAATGGAATGGGATAGAGGAGAGGAGAGGAGAGGAGAGTTTATTTGGACAAGGGTGATTAGACACACAAAGAATTTGTCTCTGGTGCAGAAGCATTCATTTCTATTTAAACCAACTGGTTTTATGAATTCAATTGCCAAGAAAAGAAATGCTTGAATCTGACAGAATAAAAATACATCTTCTCAGTACATCTTGGTTGCACCAAATAACATTATTCCTTTAATCCTTGAACAAATATTCCTATATGTGACAGATTATTTAGGCCTTAATGAGAAAGTGGCAATGATTCTCTCACATAGAAAGCTGAATTCATAAACATCTCCAGTGAGAGGAAGGTACACAAGGCCTAATTCTCCTTGTTTCGTCCTCTCATCGAAGCACCCTATAAATGACTAAAGGTTAATGGTTCTGGGGAGGATATAGGGGTGGGGTGGGAAGAATCTGTTGCATCTGAAGACCAACTGTCCATCTTGAATTTATATCCAGATTATTTAGTTACCTAGAGATTGCATGGTTTCCTCACTTTGCTGAACCTGCTGAGACATCATTCTGCTAATTCCCATCAGGCTCTCTGTGATGTTACTTGCCCCCTCTGCCAGACTTTCCTTAGTAGACTTTCTAAAAGAGAAGAGAGAAAGAAATCCAGCATGGAGCTTCAAATTATATTCCTTTCTAGTTTCTTCTTCCAGGAGGACTATAGAAAAGATGGCATCACAACTGCATTCCAGTACAATTGCAAACATGCTTTAAATTACAGTTTCCTTGGGATGATGCGGAGAATTTGCCACTCCCTTCTGCTAAGATATTTTGCTCAATTATGATTCTAAACTATGTGGTTTCTGCATCAATCAGCTAACCAGGTTTATGCCTACATAGCTTCTAAAGCAGTTAGATGCTACCACGTGCTAAGTTTCTTAGGCTCCCTCAAGTCACACTTGACTTTTGGTGAACCCAGTACTGTCATCTTCCTGAACCTGATAGAGAAACCTAAGAGGAATAAGCTCTGGTTAGTAAAACCATCTCGCAATTAAGGAGTAAGGCTAAGTACAGAAGTAGAAAAACATCTTTTCAAAAGAGCAATGGAAACATATTTTTATATCATACCAAGATGTACATACTTGTCCATGAGGATACCAAATGTTGAGCTCAACTCAACTTTATTTGCATTAGAGCATGATCTGCATGACCCAGATTGTTCCAGCCTGAGTATGACCAACTAGCCATTTCCCGATAGTAGGAAAAAATTACTTTGTCATCTTGTCAGCCCCAAATCACTAGGAAGGCAACCTCTGTTTTTGTTTCTATAGGTCAAAAATAATGTTCTCCCATTTATGCCTGTTCAATCAGGGTTGTTCAGTTTGCCTGCTGCACTTCATTTCACTGCAGGCAAACCCTTCCATTCAAATTGGCTGCTGGGCAATGCCAGAGAAATACTTCCTCCTTTCAATCACTGGCAGCTGCCCTTGAGATAGCAATAGCAATAGCATTTATAGACTGCTTCATAATGCTTTACAGCCCTCTCTAAGCAGTTTACAGAGTCAGCATATTGCCCCCAACAATCTGGGTCCTCATTTTACCCAACCTCAGAAGCATGGAAGGCTGACTTAACCTTGAACCGGTGAGAACTGAACTGCCGAACTGCTGGCAGCCGGTGATCAGCAGAAGTGGCCTGCAGTACTGCATTCTAACCACTGCGTCAATATGGCTCTTTCATTTTGGACTGCTTAGTGACATACTGGCAAGACTTTTGCCTGTTGCCTTGTAGCCCAAATGATAAAATTTAGTTTTCTTTCTTTCTTTCTTTCTTTCTTTCTTTCTTTCTTTCTTTCTTTCTTTCTTTCTTTCTTTCTTTCTTTCTTTCTTTCTTTCTTTCTTTCGTTCTTTCTTTTCTTTCTTTCTTTCTCTCTTTCTTCCTTCTTTCTTTTTCTTTCTTTTTCTCCCTCCCTCCCTCTCTCTCTCGATCAGTAGACACAGAAAGGTTAAAAGACCAAAACGCATACAAAGATTCATTGATTGAAACCACGTACATGGCCTATTCACAGAAAAGACAATGATTTGCCTGATATGGGTGACAGGAGTAAAGAAGCAAAGGAATCCACCAAGTGGATAGTAGGCCATCACTATGGCCAAAATGAAGGGACTGAAATCTGAAAAGATGGTTCTTAAACTGTTTTCCTTTTCAGACAGTTTACAATAGGAGTAAATACCTTAGTGTGATTAATCTAAAGATAATTTTCTACTTGAGTGCTCAGAGTTTATGAAATGTTCCTGCTTGAATGTTATATGGTTTTAATGGAGGAATAAATTTAAGACGTAATAAATGTTAAATGAATCCATAATAATGAACAAATGTTAGCTACCACTGCAAGAATCCAGGATCTTCCCTTTGCAACATTATATAGCTTGATTAGAAAGGTAATTACAAATGTTGTAATCCTCACTTAATGTCCATTTGTTCAGCACTTTGAAATTATGAAGGTGCTGAATGGATGGTATTATGGCACATGCCTGAAGTTATAGTCACTCCAGCATCCCCGCGGTCACACATGATTGCAATCATCTGACCACCATTTGCAATCTTCTCTGCTGGCTTCCCCAGCATGTCAATAGAGGAATTATTTCCCCAGCAGGAAAGGTTGCATGCCTATGCCACCTGATAGGAGGACTCCCTCTGGTTTCTGGGGGCTGGCTGAAAAATATCCACACCAAAACTGAAGCATGATTTTAGCACGGAGGTGTTTGTAGCACAGGGAGTTTGCAGTCAGCCAGAAAGGGAGTCCTCGTGTCTCTGAAGGCTGGCTGAAAAAGAACTGTCCCAAAATTCAAGCAAGATTTTTGCATAGAGACTCCCTCTTATTTCTGGGGGCTGGCTGCAATACCCTATACTGCATATCAAAATTCTGCTTTTGAGGACAGACCTTTTTCAATTAAACTCTTTAAGAGCAAAAAAGCTGCTCACTACTCACTCCAATTACTACTGATCAACATTTTAATATTCAAGAATACTTTATAAATTAGTCCAAATATATGCAAACCAATGTAAAGTCATTCTTAATACTGCACAATTATTCAGCTTTCTTAGAAGCAAGATCTATCAAATCTAGTAGGAATTATTTCAAAGAGACCCAAAGGATTGAATTAAAAAAAAAAAAGACATAGCTACCAATATATGCACCAAGATATATATCCATTCCCCAAATAGATAAGATGCAAAGGAAGCCGTAAGCATGCATTAAGTACAGGGGCTGAAATCAGCAAGAGAGAACTTCAGCTGTCTGACTTCCCAGCAGGATCTCACAAAACTCATTGCAAATGAGAGCAGTATAGATTTATAATGGTTCACAGGAATGAATTTCTGAAATGGTATTTAGCAGGAAGTTGGGAATTTCTGTGCCAATTTTTGATAACAACGAAAAAGAATAATTACATACCTTTGTCGTAGAGGATCTCCTCCTCGCAGCAATTCATCTTTCTCAGAATTGTCAATTGCAATTTTGCAAGCTAGGTTTGCCTTACGCCAGGCTGTCTGATTGCTAAAATTAAAAATACACACCTTTGTATCACATACCAAGTTCCTTAGATATCTGACTCCATAAAACTAAAGCATTCAATTTGCCATTGGCTTAATTAACACTTTATTAGCCTTCCTGTTATATTAAAAACTGCATTATACATTTATTTTTCCATTTCTTTACATCTTATCAACACATAAGTAGTGTTCCTTAATTAGTGGTCTGTTTAACAGTGACAATATTTGGATATTTACAGCAATGGCAATGAGTTTTTATTGATTAGCCCTTGGGCCATATCAAAGTGCAAAGTTCCAGAAACAAATTATTACTAAAATTTGATAAAAGCAATTTAAAATACTTACTTAGAGAAATCAATGATTATTACCCAAACTTTTGGCAATCTTTATAATGATGTTTCTAGCACTAGATAGATAGCCTGAATCAAACTATTATTTTTCCATCAACTGATCAAAAGTTGCATTGCAATTCATAGCTAATTGTAGTAAAAGAGTATTGTAGGGAATTTTTTTTTCCATGAAAAGAAGGAAGAACTCACATTGTTGGAAGAAAGCCCCACTAAATTTAATGGAGATGTCTAGATATTGCTTTCTAGAGATCCCCATGCATAACAGGTTGAGTACCAGCTGCAAACAAAAATCAGTCCTGCTATCATAAATCTGTACTTTTAAGATTGAAAGGCACATCATTTATTTATCTGAGAAAGGAACACTAGGATACTTGATAGGGAGACAAACAAACAAACAGTTCTGGTCCATTGTTACTTCAAGTGATTCTCCAATCCCAACGTTTCACCCCATTTTACAGAGCTGAATTTTACCTTGATGTTTAATTGATAAATTGCTATGTGTAAGGCAACAAAGTAGAGATTCTTCCCCTGAACAAACATGCACAAGGTATTATTACTTTTCTTCAAACTTTTTTCCCTCATGAGTCCTTCTTGGATTGTGTCCAACTGAACTCCTCCTTCCTATCCATATGCCTTCCAAATCTGCTCTACAGGGTTGAAGAAACTTTTTGAGTACAGAAATTTGGGAGTACAGAAGAAAAGCAAAAAGCCATTGAATGCAGGTGATTACCTTTTTGTATAATAACCACTTATGGTTACATAAGGGCCTTGATTAATTTATTAATTAATTTAAGAAGTAGGGAGTTGCTTACAGAAAGGGAAATATAGAACTGAAATATACAATCCATCAAATCTTGTGTGAAGGATAACTTTAGTACTTTCTGTATTCCAAACTTCCTATTCTGCAGACTCAGCTAATAAAACGTATTACATCATTGGTCTTGGTAACCTGAAATTTTTAACTGACCTGAGCATTTGCTTTTTATGGTTCTCTACTTCTTGGAGTAATACTTGTTTTTCTGATTCTTTATCTTGTTCCTTAGCCATCTGTTCAAGTTCCTAAAAAGAACCATAAACACACATTATTTATGAATACTTCTATATACAAAAAGGAAAATGCACAAATATAAAATGCCTTGATTGCAAATAAAATGTGATCGATTAGGGCTGTCAAATTTTTTCAGTGTTGCTATTCATTTTATTTACCCACTTTCAAGTGAAGGACCTATAAGAACATCTCTCTCAGTAGTAGTGTGCAGTCTGAATCACCTTTTGAATATCTAAATGGGATACTGCATACCCATTCCCACCTTTATACCAATGATCAAGAGCCATGGAATGTTTTAATCTCTCTCCTTATTTTACCCAGGAAACAAGTCAGTACACATCTTTGATTCTTAGATTATTTACAGAGCATAAACAGAACACCTGGTGTTCTTTAGTGGAGTTTGAGGGTAAGACAACTTCCTTACTTAGTAAATAGAATAAAACTAAAGGCCATATTTTATGCAGTCATAGGTGAATTGACAAGGCAATTCTTATGCAGAACCAGCTGATATGAAGAAAATATATACACATCCCCAATGGAAAACAATTACTAGCAAAACTAGATTCCGCATGATGTTCCTCTAATTAGAGGGCATTAACTTTTCCCATAAAAAGTTTCCCAGTAAAACTACTTTTGTTACTGTATTTTAATTGATTAAATCATTGTTCAGTACTGTTGAACTTTACAACATTGCCCCACATATGAAAAAAGGAGCCAACATTTGGTTAGTTTCCAGCATGTTTTTTTAAAAAAGAAATCAGCAACCAATAGTAATGTTCTAATAGTGGAACATCTTACATCAATTCGAAGTATGCTTGAGGTAAATTTGTTTATTCATTGAAATTTCCACTCTTCCCTCTCTACAACTGCTTTCCAAGTTCTGCATCCACTTCATCATATGTCTTTAACATATTGAGACTATGAATCATACTTTTAGATTATACTATAGTAATATAGTAATGTATAGATTGTATCTAACAGATATTCAGCATTATAAGATTTTCAAATGCACATAACTGAAGTAGCAGTAAAATAAATTCATCACATTTTCAACATTTTTACTATGAGCTCTGGCGAAACCAAGCTGTGTAACTTGTGGTCTTTGACCATTGCTGACAGATATAAATTCAAGAACGTTAAACTCCTTTAAAAAAACTTTTACAACAGCTTAGTGTTCAAGCAACAAGGAATTACATGCAGGTGAGTGCAAACATGTGAGAGCTGGAAGCTAGTAAAAACATCTATGAGTTTATTTTCAAAACATCACTAATATTTTGTCAATATTCCTTACTTGTATTCTGAGACGTAAATGGTGGAATTTTTCTTTTACTTTGGCATTCAATTCTGCAAGTGCACTTACAGGCCCTGTACAATCCCGGATGTCCTGAAAAACAAGAAATTCTAATGTCAGCCTAGAACCAGAAAGAATCTTAATGTATGGATTCTAGCCCATCCTCAACCATGGAATTCTACTGGGTGACTTTTAGTCACCCTCTCAACCAGGGGTGAAATCTAGCAGGTTCTGACAGATTCTGGGGAACCAGTAGCGGAAATTTTGAGTAGTTCAGAGAACTGGCAAATACCACCTCTGGCTGGCCCCAGAGTGGGGTGGGAATGAAGATTTTGCAATATCCTCCCCCCAGGAGTGGGGAGGGAATGGGGATTTTGCAGTAACCTTCCCCTGGATTGGGGAGGGAATGGGGATTTTGCAGTACCCTCCCCTTGCCACACCCACCAAGCCAGCCCACAGAACCGGTAGTAAAAAAATTTGAATTTCACCACTGCTCTCAACCCAGCTTATTACCCAGAGTTGTTTGTTGTGGGAAAACAGTAAGAAGACGGAGTGTAATGTATATCACTGTGAGTTCCCAGGGAAAAGGCAACAAAAATTTAACCAACACAACAGACACTTTTTGCACCGATGTTCTCTTGGAACATCTATATCTGGATCCTCAAAATGCAGCAGTTTCAGGAAGGCTGGATGATATATCAGTGGGATACTTTAAGTCAAGTATTTATTCTGGATTATTTTTTTAAAATAACCATTTGAAGGAGGGATGCTAGGTGAAATTACCATCACCCACCAGAGTAGGAAAAACAAACAGCTGACAAATTACAGCGTCCAAAGAAGCAATTGCCCAAATCTGGGGCCGCCGAAACGGTCAAGTGACCTGCAGTATTTATAACAGCACAGATCTTCATTAAGTTGAGCCAAACTGAGTGACCCCTCCAGCTACTTACTACAAGGCTGGCTGACGGATGCAGCTGAACCAACCTGTACTGGAGGGTCGACCATTGATAAAGAGAGACGGGCGGTTACGGGCTTATAAATAAATAAAAAAAATGCCCAGCGGTCACATCGTGAATGATGAAGCAACGGCGACGGGAACTATACCTGCACGGCGGCTTTAATCTCCAGGTCGAATTTGACAATCTCCTGATTGCAAACCCGGACCGGCACGTCACCGGCCGCCGCCATCTTGGGGCTAACTACGGCGAGCCAGAAGGAAGCCAAGCCAATTCGGAACGCGAGCGGACTTCGAGATCGAACGTCCACAAAGAGAAGTCATTGGCTGGCGTAGGCATGACGTATTCCTTTTTTCACGAAACGCTCCCGCCCCCGCCTCCGCCTCCCAGGTCTTCCAGCTGCGAAGGGTGGGCGAAGTGGTGCTGGACGTAAAGAGGAATTTCTCGAATTCTGCCACCTTTTTCCCAACAGTCGCGCTGACCTGAGTCTTTGCAGTCAGGAGAGGGAACAGTGTCTACTACAGTATGTTTAAGATTGCGGTGACGGTATTATTTGGAAACGACTTACTTCAGATTTTCCCTTGCTATAGTGCTTTTTATCTGATTACAACATGTAATGTTATTTATTGAGGTGTATAATTTGTACCACTATTCTTGCTGTCCTCCAAAGAGAGAAGAACTCGATATTTGAGTATGTGGTTTTTTTTTTGTTTTTTGCAGAAAGTTAGGCTAATTCTCCAGTATTTCCAGATGAAGTCATCCTAGATAGGAAAGGAGAACTCGACTGCAGGATTGCTGCGGAAATTGCATTGAATGAGCCATTAGTTTAAAATTATTTAATGGGCTCTTATACTTTTAAGATAGCCTCTTTACAGAAAGCCTAAATAAATAGCGTTACTTGATAATTTCTGAAGTTTTGAAATGTTTTACTCAAATTCAGACTTGATCTAAAATAGCCTAGCATATATAATATAGGTTCAGCTTATTTATCGTTTTCATTAGTTATAATTAGATTCTACAGAATTAAATTATTTAAGTAAATGCTGGGGTTTATTTAGTTTGGTTGTTGTTTTGGCTACTGATGCATTTCAATACCCTTTGTGCTTTCCCTTTTTGTGATAAGTAAAGTTATGTAAAAAAAAAATAAACCAAAGAAATTGAAGACATGAGATGAAAAAAATGGGTAAAACTATTCTATCATCACCCGCTTACAAAACACTTTTTTGCCTATTAAAATACTGTATATTAAGAAACTATTGAAGTTAAAACAAGTCTCTAAATATTCTATAAAAAACGAATGATTTCATCAAATATTAGGCACTTCTTCAAAAAGGAAAAAGGCATATGGCTACAAACGAGCAGAAGATTACAAGTTTCCAATTATACTTAATATTTAACTAATTTTCTTGTAACAAAAAATAGCAAAACAGGGTTATATTATAAATAGGCAGATATTTATTCTTCAATTAGTTTTCTTATACCTGCATACTGTATTTTTATCTCCAGAGCAGATAAGTGATTTTCATCAGCTTGGGAATCATGTCAACTCATCAGGCAGGTAGTTTGTTTTCTTCAAGGCTGTTACCATCTGTAACAGGTTACAGGCTACTGTCTGTTTAATGTTTGCTTTATATTTTTATTTTATTAACTAAGATCCCCTCATAATATGTATGAATAAATCTTTACCTAAATCAAGCAGATGAATCATCCTTTCAGGGATCACCAAATAGCTCCAAAACTTTCATTGTACTCTGCATCTGTTCTCATTTATTGATTCATGTTACCTATTTTTTTCTCTGAATTGCAGCATTAGAATGTTGCTCAAAATATTTGTTTCCTCAAAACTCAGCTCTGGGATTGGTAACACCAAGCAATCTGTGGATTCCCACTTTCAATACCCACTCACGACATCTTGACTGAGATCACATGTTACAAAAACTCAAGATTTGGTTTACTAAATATATCATAATTGTATGGGATTGCATAAACCATGAACTACTATGTATAACCTATAATAGTTTGATGTTTCTATCAGGTGGTCCAGTAGATATTGATCCCCACAATTGTCAATTATGGCATTGGTCAACATAACACTTTTTAGTAAGAAAAAGTGTAGTCTAATCCTAACTCATCACATGCAGCATTCCTGACTCACAGTAAAGAAAATATCAGTCACTTCTGACATACTTTGGCTCATAATGTGGAACTAAAGACCAGTTTTTAAGTTCACTCATGCTCTGCTATAGAAGATAGAATCTCTATTCCAGATTTTGTAAACCAACATATTGCTGCCCACATCCCACAAAGTAGGAGATACGTGCAGTGTACCAAAACATATTCAGAATGTCTCTTTTTGGCCATGTGTGTTATGTGTGTATTCATCTCTGTAAGCAGTATATGTTCATGAGAAGGTCAACCATTTAATACAGATGTACCAAGGATACTAAGAAAAAAAAAATCCTGGTATTTTTGTGACAGCAATCTATGGGTAAAAATCACAAACATAAACACACTAAATGTACCACAATGTCAGAACTTCTCTTCACAATTTATTTTCAATTACAAAGGATGTTGCATACATTGATGAGTTTGTATGTGAACAGAAATGCTTGGGCTCAAGGATGACAGGAAAAAAAAACAAACCAATATTTTAATTGTGTCTCTTTTAAAAAAAGGAAAAATACACAACATTAAACATTATAAAAGTTGCAAACAGATCATGCTTTGAACAGGATATTTTTTTCTAAACAGAGACAAGACCTTCAATACATATCTCTGAGCTCCAGCTGGAAATGGACCACAGAACATAACAGCATTACAAACATAATCCTGGTAGAGGAAGGTCACAATAGTTTTTAATGTACTATTTTTACCTTTCAAAAACTTTGCTGGGTTTGTATATACTATCAGATTTGCTCCCCAATCTTAAACAGGTTTACAGAGGCATCCCATAATACAGTGAAACCTACTTCCAAGTAAGAATGCTTAAGACTGCAGCCTTAATTTTTAATCAGATTTTTAGTATATTTTAGGAAGGACAATTTAATTTGTAGAATATACAGTAACCAATGCTAAATATATTATTTTGCATCTGTGAGACTAGTATTGCAGCAGCAGAAATTTCCATTATTCTTAGAAGCTAGAAATGATTTAAAAAAATTTTTTTTGAAGTTAGAAATAACTTCAGTCTTTCCATATTGAAACTTTCATGGCTAGAACAAATGTTTGAATCCGAACTTAAGGCAGATCCAATGAAATCAACCGGTAATCAAAATAATGTACTTTTAACTCTTAAGCAATAGATATTTAACATCTTTTATAGCTATTAAATTTTAAAATCATGTTTAAAAGAAATATATGTTTAATATACGAAAAATGCCAACAATATCTGAATGTACTAGATTAGAAGCTTGATGCCAAGAGGCAATTCAGAGCATTGGGATGAAGTATGACTTTTATACCACTGGAGTTAGTTCCTGATAAAATGGTTTTATATCTTTCTTACCGAGATTTAATTTAGGCTCAAACTTTCTATTTTAGAAAAAGTTAAGGCCACAGCCCTATATGCAACAGTATAGGAAATTCCATGTAAAATGGGATATTTTAAAGCATGTTTGTTTAGGATTAGGGAGTGACAAGTATATTCTTATGGAAGTTCCTAACATCTTAAGAGGCTAAAGCATTTCACTGCATGAACACTCTATCACCCAAAATAATGGAGTAAAATTAAACAGTATCCAATCAAGTTAGAATGCTTTGGAGGAAGTATATGCTAAAGTGCCATTTGTCAAAGCATTCAGTTTACTCTGGAAATAACCTAAGTATTATTGTGTAATGCCCTTACATGCCATGATTTATTAAAGAAATTGGATTAGTAATTGAATGAAATATAATTTGCTCAATCCCTCAGGTAAAAACAAACAAACAAAAAAAGCTGAAGACACTGCATTTTAGTGCAGTTTTCAGTCATACAAAATAGAGCTTTCCATCTGATAGCAGACTAAAATACATGATTTTACACCTAAAGCCTTACTTTAAAAAAAAAAAAGAAACGATGAGTAGACAGGAGTGAAATTCAGACCTCAAAGCCTAAACATTTGTACAATATCTTGTGACTGCACCTCAACAGAATTCAACAGGAAGACTGCTAAATGTCAAGGAACCGACTGGCTATACTATTTGTGCTGAAGGCAACTTGTAAGAAAACCCATGAAAAACAAGTAGGAGAATATTAATGCTTTAAAACTAGTCATATTTATAAGACTTACATAAGAGAAACCATACATCAGTTATTGACATTTGTGAATAAACAAGCAGATTTATTAACAAAGGCAAACATCAAAAAAGTGGTACAGACTTAAGTGAAACTCACACTGACAGTACGGTATTTGAGAAATGTCTGTTGCTTTTAAATTTAAGAGACCTTTAATCTGTTATAGAAGTTTTTGCTCTTTCTCCAGTACATTTCAACTTAAATTTAAAAATAAATTACCAACCAGACCACTGAAGTATGTATATCTTTGCCCAAGTCCTACAACAGTTTCACTGTTTGCACTGATGCCACAGTAGCATGAAAGAACCAGTTCTCAACTAGTCAAAAGACTAGTACTAATGAGCCCCAGAAAATTAAATACCAAGATTTACTCAATAAAAGAGGCAGAGAAGCTGTTGTTAAGAGATGTAGTGGAATTATTATAAAAACCCTATTTTCCAAGACCACTAAAAATTGGTCACCCTATGCCAGTACAAACTATTAATATAATTTTAAATCAGATCTATTTGAAGTTCCTTTATTATGCTTTAATTGTTGTTTGCTTCTAAAAGGGTTTAAGGAGTCCTGGGGAATGAAAAATAAACTTGGTTCTAATATACAAGTAAGGCACAATATAAAGCCACATCATAATCTGTCAATGGAGTAAGTGGATAAAGGACAAGAACCATACATGGTACAGAGCAAGTAGTTCATCATAGCCATTCAAAAATAGAAGTGTGGCACTCAGTTTCAGACTGACAATTTTTTAGCAAGAGCATGCTTTCAATGGAAATGAACTCTAAAATATCCAGTGTATGAAAGAGAATTTAGGACTTTTTAAAAAAAATGGATAATTGCTTTTGAGGGACATTAGAATATCCACAACATCTACGCTTAGAAAATGACCAAAGACTTCAATAAGATCCACATTCCATGTATGAAGTTTGAAAACCTTTAGAACTCTTCTAAAGATAATCAGCCAAAAATGCATGCCACAATTTCCCCAAACAAACATGAATATTTGGGTTTTAAAAATCTGTGATAATTATACACTAAACGTATATTTAATGACACTAGAGGAAGCAGATTGTTACTGGCATTAAAAGTACAACCATTTCTAGACTGTTTTAAATGCCACAGAGTCTCCTGGTTAAAATGTAAAGCTGCACAGCTTGCCAATGTCATCTTTACAATAAGATTAAACCAGCAAAGGTCTTAACTTTACTCTACATTTTACTGCCAGGTTTTATTTAGATCAAGTATCGCTGCAG